CCTTTTTTCGATCCCGGCGCATATATCCATTATTATTTATGTAGATGCTAATTACAATAGGTTTTCTTTGAACTCTTTTCTTACCTTGCGTATTATTAACAAACATTTTTAATAACACCCTTTCCTACCTAGTTTGGCATTCTCAAGTAATATGTTTTGGGCCCCGACATGTGGTCTCAAACCACTCCGGGACCTCAGGGTTGAAGAAGGCACTAACGTTTACCTGTCGGTGTGTTGTGTGTGTAGTGTTTGCGGGTATGTGAAACAGTGTAATAGATGTGTTAACAGCAACAATAATATCGGATAAACGTTCGTGTTAATGAGGCGTGAGTTGAGGTTCCGCTTGGATAAAGACATGCTATGAAAAGTGAGCAGTATGTCGGGGAATGGAGTGATTGGATTAATGTGCGTGAATTAACGCGAATCACCTTAAATCTCTCTCGGTTGGTCATTCTGATAAAGGCAACCAGAGTCAATAAAACAAGTATATTTTTATAATTTTACAAGCCAGAATTTTCCGCAAATGATTTTACCTCACGCAAAATGTTCAAACACCAAATCATTCCGATTTAATTCCGTAATACTAGTGAGAATTGTCATGTTTTACCGGAATAAGCTGCAAACTTAACAGGAATAGGCATATTCCAGAATGAAAGTCATATAAAGAATGATGAAAGCATTCAAAAGGAAGTCAACCAATTTGGCATAGTGAAACAATCAAATTTTCAGGCTGTTGAATCCTTTGTACATGTCTTGATAAAATTACATGATGATAAAGTACATTATGCTTTGCAAAATCAGAGTTGCCTTCGAAGAAGAGGTCACAATCTGAGTGCTGACACAAAGTCAAGACAAATGAAAAAGTGTATTTAATAACAAAAATTGTCAAATATATTCCTCTAAGACCCACAAACATCCAATTAGGTTATGTGATTTTGAAACAGGACCAATTTTACACAATATCAGAGGGTGTGGATATGAAAGTACTGAGTAATTTGCGAAGCCAATGGTCTGCCTCTCCACTGTGTTAAAGCGCATTGAGTAATGTCACAATTTCAATCTGTCAAAGTATGCAGACCGTTGACACGAGGTCACTTCTCGAGGTGAGATGATATGTCTTGGAAACAATCATTTTCTTGGTTACAATAAGAATAGAGGTCTGCTAAAAGAGTTTTAAGTTGAAGGTTTTTTCAAGCATCTGCAATGAAACGTCTTTGATCATGCCTTGAAACATAATTTAATTTCTTGGGATATTTTATCAAAGTTACCATTTAGTTTGCGCTTTGGAATAAAAGGTCAAAGGACACAGGTAGACCACATTGACCAAATTAGGGTTTTCGATAACGGGTAGCTTTAAGACAGGATGCCACAAAATAAAATTTATTAAACCATTGACATGAGGTAAAAGTGCGCATTTACTCTCAACGCGTAAAGGACTATTATAATAATAGAAACTATTTGACCGCCAAATTCGCAGCATACAGAGCCGGAGGTAATTTTATCAAATGCACTTTTTAAGCTGCTACAATACTTTAACTGTAAAAAGTTTAAGATAGTGCATTCAAGGAGTTGAAATAAATTCGTGAATCAGCATCACTTGTCACCCCAGTTCTGAGAGCTAGTGTTGTTTTATGAACAATGTCATTAAGGTTCCAGGATTTTTGTACCTTTAGCAAAACATGCGATGCTATTTTCAAGATGCTACCTTTAAACCGCCTTATGCAGTCTTATTAGTCACCTTAATTCAAAGATGCGGCTTAACGTCAATAAATGCTAAATATCGAAATCTACTATGATGGCGTTTAAACGGTTCTGAGTTAAATGTTTCATTTATCGTTCATAACCTAATTACTACACACGTTCAGCCAGGTCACTAGTTATCAAAATGAAAAAGATGCCGTTATGCATCGAAAAGCCATTGATTATAATTGACTGTGAGATGAATCAACAAAATTTGACTCGAATTAAAATTTTTATGTGAAATATATTCTGCTATGTATATTTTATCGTGGTGAACAGGCACACAAACAGCATGCCAGTTTAATTTCCAAAAATTATACGTATTTTACAATTACTTCAAAATCAGTCATGCAGGCTTCATCATTGACTTAACGCATAAAACAGATGCATGTTCACGAAGGTTCTCACCCAAAACTTTAAAAAAAAACAATCTTTGTATCTGCTAGAGTTCCAAGTTGGTCATAACGAAGAAAAGTACTTAGTCGTTTTGTTTGAAAATTATCCTGCTATCTTTAATTAATATGTAAAAAAATGTGATATGTAGCGTGCAGCGAGGGAGCACAGATACGCGTTATCTGTGTCTCCTCTCTTTTGTATCGTTTTTTTCTTTTGGTGCTTCATGTTGTGGTCGGCCGCAACAAATATTTTTAACATGAGGGCTCACTGCTAGATCTAGGATAAAGTAGGTCATTAATGTCCATCCAAAAAAACAGAAGATTTATTTAAAAATATTTTTTTGCAGTGTAGTTAACATCTGTATCAAATTCCTACCTAAGAATCACAATTTGTTCTACTGAACGGTGAAAGTTTTCGATTAAAACCGCAATAATGCCTGAAAATAATTTATTTTAAAAACTGGAAATAAAAAGGACACAGTGTGATTTAAAAAACTTTGGAACTGAAATCTGCTCAATACATACTGCTGCGTGGAATTAAGTCCTAAGTATTTCTAGGCTTTTCTTTTTTACTTGCTATGCAATGCCTCATTTTAACTTTCTACTACCTGATATGACCACTAAACGCTTGGGAGATACTGCATAAAACTAAACCATAGTCAGTGACCAAAAATAATACGAGTCCTGTGAACATAGCCGTATTAAGTTTCACTAATCACCTCAAACCATATCTTAAAGCAACACAGATATCAAGTTCAATTACAAGATCCAGTGAAAATGAAACGATCGACTCCTGATTTTCCAAAACAACTTGCCGAAGATATTACAACTTCGAAAAGAAACAGCAAAAAAAGTAAGACGGGTCAAGTGATTCCCAGTTTTAGATGAAAAAATTCTTGCAGAAATACTATCGAAAGCGTATTTAAGCGACACACTACCAACCAAAAATTGTCACTAAAATAAATTTATTGTACTGTATCAGACCAGCCGATGCCTATAGTTAAGAGCTATTCGCTCGATAATGTAATAGAGTCTTGACATCATTTGGCGGAGAAATTGTGAGTTCAAAATAACCAGGGTATCTCCTATCATCAAGCAAGATAAATAATTTGTAATCCCATTAAATTAATGTAAAACGTAATTGAATTCAAAAAATGTTTAATTATAGATATAGATGGTTAGCCATATGAACAGCTGGACTAAATTAATGCCCTAGTGGTTCAGGATAATGATATTGCATTTTTGGCTTCTGCTAGATGTGCTGACAATAACCAGAAACTCAACTTTCAAAAACAGTAAGGCCATAAATATTTAACTAAGCTACTGTATAACAGCTACAAAAAAACGTCAAATATCGATGATATGAAAAATTAATTTAAAGTTTGGCGCAAAATTGTTTCTTTGAGATACAAGGCAAAATCTAGAGCTAGTAATTTGAAACTTTTTTTACAACAAAAAACAGTCTGCTGCATATTATAGAAATTAGCATTAAATTTTAGCTTTTTGTTTCCGGACAACATTAATGTGTTTAAATTTATAGAGAAGGGTTGAGGTGATTGCTCGTTTTGATTTTTTAGTTTGCTGTTGCGCGGTCTGCTCATAGAGTGCACGCAAGTAACTAGTGTAAGTTCGGTTTAATGTATGGTGGGTTGGCAACTTTCATTTTTGGAGATTTCATTTGTAGTGACTGAGCACTTAAAAGTAGCATGTACGTAGTTTCGTATGTACATGCTACTTTTATGTACCTCTGTATGCGTAAATGTAGCAACGCAGTTGCCCTGACTTGGTTTCCAACTAATTAAGCTACTGGGGTTATTGTCTCCGCATCCTCATGCCTTAACTTTTTTGTGTCTTTTATTCAATATTGCTTCAGAGCCCACGTACATCATTCCTTTTATAAATCTACTTTCGCGTAAAAGTAGACTAATAAATCATTAACACAGGCATCACGTTTATAATCGGATTGTTGTTTAACTATTTGTTAGAGAAGCCTCAAAACGTTCATTTCATGTTTTGTTGATTGATGCTGTAGAAAACTACACCCTAATCGAGGTTTCTGTAAATATTCTCGGTTCAATTATGAATTGTCACTTAGTCTACTGCTCTATTGGTTGTTTACCGCCCATGATTCTGGTTTACTTCGCTTTCCATCATGTTGATAGGATGCTCACATATATTAGCAGACATTAATCACAGAACTGAAAGGCTGCTCACCAATGTGGTTTGTTTGTTCTCTTTGTGTTGCTTTATAATGGCTGTTCAATCATTTAGAATTTTTTTTATGGAAGACTTTGTAACCAATTAGAAGACTGAATGTTCTTCGCAGTTTTTAGTCCTAATCAGTTTTTTTATTATAGTTGTAATTTGTGCTTACTCAGAAATATTATCTATATCCTGAACCCAATGGCGAAGAATACAAGTAACTCAGATTCATACAAACCCTCTATTCAAAATTACTCCTATACGCTTGAGGTAGGTTTTTTTACTCTCCCAGTTTTCATTGCATTTTGGGCAGGATTTACTTTCACTCAATTCCCTCAATAGGGTAATATTCACGTCAACCCTTCTTTCAAGGACTGTGTCTTACCAAATATTCTCGGAGATGGATCGACTTGCGTACATGACCTGTTCAAACAGGCCATGGAATTGGGAGGTGCGTTAAACCTTTTTTGTCACGTGTATTTCTGCCTTGCTTATATATCCTTACACATCACTAGACTATTTGCACCTTTCAACAATTATCTCACTCTGTTACCCTTAATGCAACCGGGACATTAGATGCCATGGTACCATCCTGCCACCTTTTCATTCATAAGGTGTGCTTTAGCCTAAGAATCTTGGTGTTGATTTTTATAGTTGCTAAACTTGAATACTTCGGTTGCATATAGTGTTCGCTTTTTCGTCTCAGGTGATCGTCCCTTTCTTGGTACACACTCCACTCCATCGGCTCCCTACGTATGGAGGTCATTTAAAGAAGTGTATGCCAGCGTCAAAAAATTTGGCTCAGGTCTTCGCACATTTCAAACAATCTCTTCACGGCCCTTTTGTTGTATCGGTGTTTATGGTAAAAACCGTCCAGAGGTAAAGTAGTTCCTGTTATGTACGAATTTTGGTTTCAATTAAAATCGATCATGCTTTGCTTAAGGTAAACTATTGTAATAGATTGCCACCGTTGAAATTCCCTGTACTCATAGAACGGATTTGTGATCATACCTTTCATTAATATGGCTCCCCTCAATGCACGTTCATAAGCCAGGTAAACTGTAATGATGGTGGCTTTTCTTGGTCTCTGTTAGTTTTAAGTGTCATGAAGTTTGTGTTGAGAACCCATCTTGGTTTAACTGACACCATATATACGCTTTACAAGCTCCTCTAATATAACTACCCGCGCCATCTGGGAGCTGGACACCAGCCTCAGTGTTCTAAAATCAGTACAAGAATCGTTTTACTCTAATTTAATGGAAAGTAATTTGTGATACTTGATGAACAAACTATGGCCTTTTTTAGTGGCTCATAACACAGTACGCGTGCTTTTCGTACAAACTCGTGACTGTACCGTTGTTCGACACTCTTGGGGAAGAGGCCTTGCTGTACATATGTAATCAAGGTATGTTCCTTTAACTGTGATGAAAAATACCTGCACTCGGCTCTGAACAAAAGGCTAGTTTTATGGTTGATCGGTTGATTTTCGAATTGAAGTTACGGAGCACTAGTATCAAGCTGGCAGCCTATGGCGAAGTGGTTAATAGTGAGGGTTCTGGCAAAGGCCATAGCCTCCGTCCCGTCTTCAGCAAATCGAGGTACCCTTAGGTATCCATCAACGCTTTCAGTCTATCTAATGTGGCTAAAGTTCACTTTGTGCACCTACTCCAATGCCACTCACTTCCAGCTTTACGTTCAGACCCGTGGTTAGTTTTTAAAATGTTTGCTAGCGTATCCTTACATCGTCTGAGTTGTTTTTTCAATTGCCCCATTGCGGTACTTTGAATTTGTATCATGGGCAGCCGTTTTTAATGTGTAACCCGAATCGTGGGTTGTGGCGGTTTCCCATCTCACTTCGACCATTCTACCCCATTACTTGTACTTCATAGCTGAACTCTCTGTGGTGGTGTGTGATACGGCAGCTCAAGCTCTCAAACTTCTGAGCCTCGCGGAAACTGTTCCCTTCGTCAAGCACCTCATCATTATGAATAATAACGACGATCTCAGTGCACTGAAAGAAAAAGCCGGTGAAGCCATACAAGTTTTAACCTTTGAAGACGTAATCGTAAGTTACCCTTTTCGCTCTCTGCCTGTTGCTTGATCAAATTTATTGGCCTGCCAGTCGGATATTTTTTTGCTTTTGTGGCCAAACTCGAACCATTTCGTTACGATGGACTGGGGCCTCCATATTTAACCTGTAAAATTTGACCAACAACGATTCCCACTCTTTATTACCCTTGTCTGTTCACGTAATTTTGTGAAATGAGTTCTTAGTGTACCCCTGTTAATTCAGCCGCTGAAACTGCCTAACCCTTGGTGTCTTCAGTTATGTACCATTGATCAGTTGTTGATGCGTTGAAATTGTTTTGTCTGTTGTAGGCCCTCGGTGAAAAAACTCCTCTTGAAACAATGGTAAGCGAATTTCCGTAACATCGCTTAATCACGCAATTTCCTGTCGCAATTGCTCAAGGTCGATGGCGCGATTTTCACGTTAGCAGTCCGACGCTATTGCTTTTGCCCAGTCAGCCTCTAGTTTTTTTTACTAAGTGGCGCAACTGATTCGTTGGCTTCAAGGTCGCGTGAGGATGACACCACATGCAGACTTGTACGGCCTTAGTCCATGTGCACGCGGACGCCGTCGCCTCACGACGACCGCGGTGTACCGTTTTTGCCGAACCACTTTTGCAACAAATTGGCCCGACGACAAACTTTAGAATTTCACACGTATCATTCGTGCTGTTCACATTTGGATGTGTCAAAAATCCACGCATTTACGTCACGTTTTTTTTTCGGTTTTTCAATCTGATCGTTGTTATCACTTTCGTCTGTTGCATCTAACGGCTGTTCGTCATTATCATCAGGCGTGTGGTGTGAAGTCCTGAATTCGATGTGTCAGGTTTATTTCACCTCACGTGACTTTTACATGACAGCATATATAGTCTGTCTATGTGTTAATTAGTTCTACATTAAAGTTAATTATGTTGTTTTTACTTAGTCCATTTACCTGTTTGCGGCACATCTCGTTTTTATAATACTTTTGATCCATTCATCATTATATGTTTACTAACTGAATCCGGGAGGAAGGAGGGAGGGAGTGTTAGACGTTGACCCTACACATCGATTTCACAAATTTATATGCCTGCAGAATGAATTATAAATTCTTCCGTTCTAAATCCATTCACACTCATTTACGCAGATTATGTCTTATAATTTTCAAAATCTTTACGCCCTCTTTTTGAGATAGTTGATGTGTTTATTCACCGATCAGTAAAGTATTAATCGATTCAGTTCAATCACAAGGAGTGTAATAGTTTAAAAATATTGCCTTCCTAGCATGTATCTCAAACTTCTTGTGTGAACTACTCGTTCCTTGTCGCGCAGATCCCATATTCACGTTCATCAGTGGTTGTAATTACCAAATCCGTGTAGTTTGTAGGAAAATGCGCTGGCTACGTACAGTTTTTATTTCCTTTATTTCACATTTAATTTTGGAGTTGTGTGTACTATGGACGTTATTGTTACATCAAGTAACAAGCAAATGTGTCCGAGTTTCATCTGGTGTGCAACAATTCCTCGCAGCCCTTTTAGACGATTCACTTCTCGGGGTGTTTCATGTCTAACATTTGCACTCATGCGTAAGGCTGTCAGACACGTGGAATCTAGTGGTACGTGTTTTCCATGAGAAACGTCTCAAAAGTTGAAAGAAGTTGCCGTTGCCGGGGAGTTGCCGTTCATGAGCCTTCATTCGAGCGTCTAACTCGATGCCTTTTTCGTAGATGCGTACCAGACCATCCTGACTTTCATTTCTAAGTTCCAAATATTTTGCTGTCACAATTGGGGATTTTGGGAAACACTGGTTTGGAATGATAGTGCTGTGTTTGTATTTTACCGACCAAACCACCAATAACGCCTAGTTTGATTTCAACCCAACAACCTGACTGGTGAGTTTGATAGTGAATTTGGGTCTGTAATTGATGAACTTATGCTCGAAGATTTTCCCTCGGATTTCAAGTACTGACCACAACTAACTGAGCTCTTGTTATTTGTGACTCTTTCATTTTCAAAACACAAAAATGCAACATAGGGCAACAATATGTTTACCACGTGGCGAAGAAATTGTAAAGGCAATGTGTGTGCCAGAAATTTTTTATAGTTCTCATTATGCTGGCGCGACATGTCAAGGTTAAAAGTGTGAAAGCAGGTCATTGTTGTCTAGCGACCAGTAGACTGAAACGTTTCTTGAACTCAAAATAGCGTACTGAGTTCTTTGTGGGATTGGCGTGTCTGCGTATTCCACGATTCTTTCCTAAAATCAAATCAAATTTCATAGCGTATCTCCTTAAGGTCGACAAAATCTCTTGTCATGTATAACAGGCTTCCTGATTTACCCCTTTTTGCCAGACTTGCCGTCACTGATTCATTGTCCACTTTAATCCACCCATATTTCCCTCATTGACAACGGGATCAGTTTAAAGACCACCTCAAGTTATTTTGCTCTCAACCTGAAAACGCTTTGCTGCTTCCGGATTATCGTACAAAAGTCATTAAATATTAATATGTAGGGTAAAACTGCCATGAATCAGAGTTAATTTTGATTTCATAACATGTACTGCTGCAAACAGAATCTGGCACCTCACTAAATTCAGGGTCTTCGTTTTCCTTCAGCCAAATCGAGGCTGGTGTACATTTTGGGAACGTCTTTTTAGGAAAGTTCTCAGATTTCGCAGAAATCAAGGCACATTTATTATTGATGTTTGGTTATAAAACTTCTAGTTTGCTTCGGTGCTACATCAGGTTTTTGTATTCCTACGCAGAGTTACCGAGTGCATCGTTGGTTTACGAACACGTTCCTGGGTTTGTTCAACAAATTAGCAAAAGGCATTTCCTTATTAGGTAGATTCTTAGCTAAGGAATTATTCAAATATGTGTTGCTCGCTTGTGGAAAAATAAACTTTATTCTTTAATCAAGTTATTAGCTTATGTGAGAAAAAATGTGTACGTGGGTGTTTCAAATTTTCAAAAAAGAAGGGCTGTTGTCACCTACTTTAGCCTGATCCAGTCGTACTGGTGGTTTTGCAGATAGTGTCTGGCAGACATGCAGTCCACATGAGTCATGCAACGTGAGAGTCATTTCAGACGGTCCCTTGTGCGTGTGATGAAGCCGCTAAAAGTCGGTTATTATTGTTGCCATTTGTCGTTGCATGACGATGTCTCATTCTCTACTCGGTCGCTACATCTGCCATTCCGGTCTTTCCTTTACTAGATATTAGGTTGTCAGGTTCAAGAACATGCTGTTAGAAATCGGGCCGGCCTTTTTATGAACTGCCTCAGGTGGCATTCCTTTGCGTATAGAGTGAAAGTTTTAACCTCTTCTCAGACAGCGCTTGTTTTTATGTCTCCTTTGCATATTCCAAGTGCTTTTCGTAATTATTGATAAGTTCACTTCGTAATCGTTTTTACAAAACCGTTGAGACGCCACATTTGTGCTGTGCGCTTGTAACTACGTCTGTAGCGCTGCGACACCGGCTACAAATATTTCTGGTGTGTGAATGGGATGCTAACAGACCGGTGGCCGTTTTCTTGCTTAGTCGCAGCTGTAGTAGCTAGTCATTGATGAAATTTTTTATTTTTGAATAAAAGTGAATTGGAAATGAGGATTCTTTGGAAGTCACGGGTTTTGTGCTGTTAACCCCTGCTTTGGCTCTGACTGCAATTGTGTTCTTTCGTTAATTCCAACAAGTTCCCGCATCTCATAACAGAAAAACGTTCATTTTATTGCTTATGAACACGTGGCTGCACATATTACGCAATTCCATCGCCTATAAAGGAAACTAAGTTACTTCCCATGGTCTTTAAGTCATTCACTGTTGTAGTTTATGCTTTCTCAGTTTTGTGGCATTGCTTTTTTATTTCCTATAATGATACTCATGTGCTCTCGAAATTTGTGTATTTAGAAATTGTAACCCCTTCAGTGTAAGTAACCGCAGTAGCATATCGCACTAATTATTCCTTTCCTCTAATTCCTGTGAACTGATATTCCCCTATGACTGTGTTTTATTACCTGTCCTTACTGGCAATCTGAAATTGATCGTTGTCATTGCCGTCGCGCGCTCCTCTGTACCTGAGCCCCGTGTTTTCTACAAATTCCTCTGCTTTGAATTTGTGATGGCCATTTGCTGCCGCGGTTATCTGTGGTGAGGCTGTTTTCAGCTGTATGGTTTGGACTTAACTCATGTCTGGGTCCGATGGTGCTTTGCTGAGACCTATTGGCGCCCACCAAAAATAGCTATTTACCATATGCTTTTATTGGCCTCCTTTAAGTCTCACTCAAATGTCACTTCCGTAGCTGTTCTCGCCAACATTGTTGTGAGATCCTGAAATGCCGCTAATTTCTAAATCTTTCCCCAAGTTTGATGTAAAGCTGGAAATAATTACATGTCTGGAATGGGTTATATTGTCATTATAGACATTCGGAGACAGGCAAATTTTATCGTTACTTTACTATCCCGTGTAAAGTCAACTGAGACCTTCCCCAAAATTGGTCGCACGCTTAAGTGATGATTAACGGTGAATTAAATTAGGCATCTCAGACACTGCTCATATTTTCAATAAATGCGTAGTCAAGTGGATAAAATAGTAAGCTCCTTTGCTTGCGATTTCGTTAATAACGTTTGGACAAATGCAGTTTCTAAGGCTTGCAAAGTTAGCTCCATGAATTTTATGAATTGCAAATTGCTTCTTGAGTGGCTTCACACCAACTAGTCTTTTAATTCAGGTAAAACGATCCTATTTATGTACTGATTAGATTTCCCTGACTGAACGTTCGTAAACTTCTGAAAGTAATCCTGTAGTAAAGTTCTCTAATGGATAGGCTTGCTCTTTTTTCAACATTTTTGTGCGTGGAGTATGTTTTGTCTTATCTTCAAACGCTGTTTTTCATCTGAGTTGTTTTTTTTGAAATATTTACTGTACTTAAAGTCTGCGTGCCCGTTCGCATTTTGTCACTAGCCATATCCGTCGTGACTTATTTCGAACCCATGTTTATGTATTTCACTGGCGTATTGACTTGCAACGTAAATATTAATAATTGCATAATAATTTTAGAGTTGTAGTGCAAATCTGCTCAGTCATCAAGCTTCACTTTTTTGCGGATTGTTCATTAGCGGGGCGAAAAGTGACATCTTGCTCGGATACTGCAACCCAAAATTCAGTCTCACCTTAATCCGGTTTACTGCCTTTTTTTCTGGCTGCGTCTTGGTGCGTGTATGGAGTCTGGCCATTTAATCATTTAAATCAGCTGTGCCTGAAATTACCTACTTTCCGCACCGTTTGGGTACGGTGCATTTCTGCGCGACAGATCAGTGATCGAATGCAGCTGATTCCGTGTGTAGTTGTTGATTTTTCTTAGCTGTTGCCTGCGACTGGTGTCCGGAAAGATCCACACATTGCCTCCGAGTCGTAAATAGAACATGTCGAATGTCCACATTTTGTTCGACGGTCTTGCAATTTTCGGAGATGCCGTTTTCGATCTCAACCTTATTCCGAAAACATCAATTCCTGACATTCTGTTTTCTCTTCTAAACGTTTCGATTTCTCGCTGTCGTGTTTGTCGTAATCCTTAACTCTCCGCCTTAAAGTCTACTTTAATTCCTAAAACAGCATAGTTCTGTGGTGGTATTTTTAGTTTTTACTACTGCAGGAAAAAACCGTCATCTTGTTTACTCCAATCCATTATTATCCACGCGTACCTAATGTAATTAGTTTATTACCCGCTTGAAAAAATCTCATGACACTTGTTTTTTTGTCTACTTAAAACCTCGGAATTGGCCAACACTGCTGAGCAGAATGCTCAGCATACTAGACACATTTCATGTCAAATTACAACCTTTTCAATGTGCCCAGCATTCATAGGTCGTGCCCTCTTCTTTTTTAGCCATCAAACCCAGACGACCTTGCACTTGTCTGCTACACCAGCGGGACCACTGGTGAGTTGCTTAGTCTATGGTGTCCTGAGGAAGTGACGGTTTGTGTTATTTTACAAAACTTGGAATGCAGCACCGGCAAAATTGCTGTCAAACCATGTTTTGGTGTCTTTTTACGTCCCTATATCTCGATGTAACGGACTGGTCTTTACTCTGAGGCGCGGGGCAATCGAAAGCCCGCTTCTAAGCGTAGAGAAGCACATGTTCACAACTGCGAAGCCTGTCGGCAATCCAATAATAGCCAAGGCCTAATTATAAAAATTCTTACTGTGTTCAGTTCAGGGAATGAAACAGATAATAGGCGTACTGCACTTTATGTCTATGCTCACACCACGAATTTCAAGTGTTTGGTGGGCATCTTGGCAATTTTCTTGTCAAAAATTGTTATTTCTTCCAAATGTTCACATTCTGTTCTTACAAAACAGTTTCACTGCTGCAGAACCCGTTCTCACAACCTTTAAGCTTTTCAAAAAAGACCCGGTTTGCTAGAACAATTGATGTGGGGACCATCCAAATTAATTATCTGAATGCTCTTTCGTAAATTCGGCTAGTTTTCAATGGCTTTTGTGGTAGTTTTTGTGACGGTTTCTGGCATAGTCCTCTGAAAGAAGCAAACAGCTACTTGTGGACATACAAAGTAATCTAAGCTCTTAGCGATGCTGTCGTTCTAAATGCCACGTGCCGTTGTTACAAATTCGAATGAACTTCTACTCAGTCAACCGTCAATAGTACTGATTCGATTCAGTAATATTGTCAACACACCATAGAAATCTGAAATTTTTACTTTACCTCCTTTTGGTGACGGATTTAACCCTACGTGAGCAACAGCACGTATGGATGTAGATGTGACAGTTTGATCCTTCGACTCACTTTTTATGTGTGGGCGGCAACTTATTGCCCTCAGTTATGGCATTTACTTCGGGAAATAGACTTTCGAGCCGGACATTAATCGGTGGACTGATTAATGCAGCTTCTATTCCTTTCTGACGTTGACTGCTTACTAGTCCTGCATTGTAGAGCGTTTTGAACTTGTTGACTGTTCTCGTAAAGGTTATCATGATGCGCATGCATTACGAACGTTTGTCTGCAAGGCCTTCCTTTGCTATGTCTAGCTATTAACACTTGTCGTTCGAGTTCACCACCTTCAATGTGGTTGGTGCGCTAAACCTAGGAAACCGATGATGTGTTATGTTGCTAACGAACCATTGCATTCTCGGTAGCCATGTGGTGTTGTAAAAACAAGCATTTGTTACTGGTTAACTCTTTACAACTCTGTTCTCGTTGTCTAAATGTGTTGGTGCAAATCGGAAATTTTGGCTTTGACGATTTGACCGGAATTCTGAATACCAGGTAGAAAGTCATTCTGCCAGTGTTTACGAAGTAGTCGCTGTGCAATTTCTTTTTTTTTAAATGGACCGGCGTGATAATCCCAAACGTAAAACATTTCGTTCTTTTACTCAATAAAATGTTCCTTCGAGTAGATGAAAGCTTTGTGGTCGAATTCTAGGTCTCCCAAAAGGCGTGGTGGTCTCAAACAGGATGATGCTTGCTAGTCTGAACAACAATATCCTCAATTCTGGCAAAGGCGTAAGTTGTGTGTTTTTTTTTATTCATTTTCTGATTCAGCACCTTTTTGTCGTGAGGAACACTAAACAACTCGGGCATATTATCCGATCAGAAGTTGAATCGAGGTTCATTGTCGTACAGAATCGGACCAAAAAAGTAGTGTTAATGGCTGAGCGTAGTGTTTTCACCGAAATTTTATTTTGTTACAACCGTTCGGATATCGTCATGTTTTGGTCCCTTCCAAATAAACTAGCGAAAACTTTTGGCGCTATCGAGCCACCTTTATTCCTGAAAATCACGAAAGTTGTGCGTGTAACGAGAGAAATTTAGTGACGTTCACTCCTAACCCTTCGGACTTCTGTTTGCATTCTTCAGTTACTGATTGTCCAATGTAGCCTCTTGGCTGTAATTTGGTAAGAGTTCTGCTCCCCATGTGGTACATGAGTAATTAAACAGTTGACGTCAGGTAAGAGCGGTTGTCGGATTAATCGAACGATGGCTGGGACCTTGGCCTAATCTAACTACGTAATAATAGGCTGTGGAAACCTGCACTTTCATTTTCGTAAATTGTCGTTTTATGTACTTGAACAGCCTTCCTGTGTTGATTATCTTACAATCCACGCGTTCGTTTTGATCAGTAAGTGTGCAGCAAAGGCTCTGTTTCTTCGAATTATTTAGTTGTCTCCCTTCCGCACATTGAACGATGTACAGCGTATAAGGTAAGTGGCTTGCAGATGCTCCTCCGACAGCCTTTCACTTCGGCTTTTAAACGTGTTATCAAGAGTGGTCTCGCAGTACTTAATACCGCCTTGCGCCTTCTCCGTTCGCTTTACGAAATCAGTGTTTATCAGAGGGGTTTGATGGTTTCGACCCCTCTCGATAACCAGGCATCGAATCCTGAAGCAATCCGGTGCTTTGACGCTTTACTATTGGAGTTAGTTCTTCAAATGCGATACCCTTGCGGTCTTGATGAATTTTGAACTGCGCTTTCTGGCAACTAGAGAAGATTAGATCTCAGTTGTGCTTTCATCTCGGTCTGATCACAGCAATTGATTAATGTGCCTAAAAGTCACCAAGTGTCATCTGTGTGTACTCTGAAATTGTCATCTTCACTTTCAGATTATGTCCGAGGATGACATCTATCTCTCCTACCTTCCCATGGCGCATATATTTGAACAAATGTTCTTAGTAAGTTGCACCGTGTCTTTTGCGAAGTGGATCTAATTGCTAAATATTTTGACATCAATTTTTTGCAGGGGATAAGGTTTTGGGTGCTTCCAACTCTACTTAATTGAACTCGTTGCACTAGCCTGTTTTTTTGCGTGTATCCGCATGACCTTAGTCTTCAGCTAATTGCGTTTGCCTTGGATCGGCAATTTCGTTAATTGTTTCCAAACGAGTCAGAAGTTATCCAACGATGTGACTAAGTCATCATGCCGTTCGGAAAGGTTCTGTAGGGTATCATTGTAATTTTGGCGAACGTCTCACACGCCAACAATCTAGACAATTCCGTTTCTTGCATTTAGTAAACAACGCAAACATTGGAATTTTTTATCAGTAGACTATTTTTCCTTGAATGCTGAAAAAAGTGCATGGCTATATTTAAGTCTCAAAAGCTCTTTAAAAAAAAACCAATAACCACTAATTTCCCTTGCAATATGTTGGCCTTTTCGTTGCGGAATGTGCTTAACACGTTTGTCCAAATAAGTAGTATTTTGGTTAACACGCTCATGAGCCGTTGTCGTTGGATGTCATTGTAATGTGAACACTATTAAGCATTCATTTTTTTAAATCCATACATTCATAACGTGTGGCTTGATTTCATCTATGGAATCAAGTTTGCAACGTAAATTTTGACTTCACTTATTCTTTGATAATCAAAGTGAACTACCCCCAGTTAAGTCATTATTTACAACAACTCCGGTCTTAGAGGATCATGCCCGGGGCGAAATTACGCGGCCTGACAAATGTGTAGAGGTTTGTGCACCCAAAATAGTTCAGCTGGCTTTCAGAACATCACCAATTTCTCCTGCCACCTGTCTGTGGCGAAAAGTAAAAACTAGGTGATCGGGTATAGCCTAAAGTTAACATTTTTTTCTGCAATCGCAACTCCGAACTTTGATCGTCTTGAGAAATCAGGGCCACCTTCAGACCATGGTAAATTTAGCATATTACTGACTTCATAAGTATGTAAGCAAGAAGTGATTGTTGGGAATTTTGTTGCTCCTTCAAGCTCAGCATATTGTGTAGTGGCACTCCTCTGTTCCCTTTAGCTTCTTGCAATTTTTAATCGGGCCAGGATCGGATTTTACTCCGGTGAACCCCGTCTGCTCTTCGACGACGCTCGAGTCTTGAAGCCGACCGTCCTAACTACGGTACCTCGCGTGCTGTTGCGAATTTACGAAGGCGTTCTTCAGAAGATCGGCAACTCCGACTTCAAACAGTGGCTGTTTAACAAGGCTTTGTCAGCCAAACTCAGTGAGGTCAATAAGTGAGTTTCCGTATTGACCCCATCTCCTGGCTTGCTGGCTTTCCTTGTGTGTGTAATCTCACCTGAGGCAGTATTTTGGGTTTAATTACACGAAGTAGCAGCTAATTTTCCCCTTTTGGTGTTATTCGCCATGTTTATTAGGAACTTAAACCCACACAGTTGAATGGCAATATTTTGTACCAATTTGTTTATCATGGGACTTACTACGGCTCTTTAACAGACATCCCTAAAACTCATCGAAGGAATTAGTTTGGCTCTTTTTCGATACATCTAATGGCTTCAATGTTTTGCACCCTGCTATATTTCATTGTTATTGTATTGTTTGTACATGTATGTTGTGTTTAGCTACTCTAGCGCTGCTCAGTTTTCCAAATCGCCACGTAATTAAATTACTCTAAGTCTAATAACAATTTCAAACGACCAATAATATTTTGACGTATATTCAGTCTTTTATGCAATTGTAGCAGCAATGGTTCCTATATCAAAAGGTTTCCATGTTAGTACTCTTATTAATACCATTTGACATTCTCTTTTGTCGCTGTTCTACCTTTAGGGGTCGTCTTTCAAAGAAGTCGATATGGGATGCACTTTTTTTCTCCAAAATCCGTGCCCTTGTCGGCGGCAATATCCGTGTTCTCGTATGCGGCGGGGCTCCTATTCCAACTCACGTGCTAAGGTTTGCACGTGCGGCTTTCTCCTGTTGGGTAAGGATCTGCTTTTTCGCGAGTCGCGAGCACCTCGTATAGCTCCAAAATCTGGAATCCATTAATTCCAATTCTATTGGTGTGTGGTTCACTGACGATACCAGGCCTGTATGTGACCAAGCATATCAAAGGAATGATCGCACTCAAAAATGCCGTAGTATCAAGTCTTAGGTCTGGCTTCCAGTGTGGATTGAAGTTCATGCATATCAATTGCACTCCGTGACCTTTACTCCTTAGTATCAATGTAGAATATTTAAAAGCATAATTGTTTGATAAAGTTGTTTAAAAATTTGCACTTTACAAAAATCTATTAATCCTAGCAAGTTTGATAAAAGAAAACGAGATATGGATATACATTTAGGGCTGAGAAAATCGCTTCATCATACAGCGGTGAAGCTATAAAAAACGGCTTTTCGCAATTCATTTTCAATAGCACCAATAATTCTTCTGAGGTTTCCATAAATTCTTGCACAAAATTACTTCTTCTTACGGAAATATGAAAGCGACGTGTCACGGTGTTAATCACTAACTTAATATTCCCACATCACAAATTTTGTCATTTGATCCTCGTTGGAAATATGCGGTGCCTGTAGATACGCATCCCCCATCGCTTTCAGTGTGTGTATTTATTTTAACAAGCAGTTGACTCAAATGCTGTCTACTAGCAGTTCCATCCTATATGGCTCCCCTTCTAGGTCCGTTTAGGTAGCTTCATGGATGGACATAGTTTTATCACTAATCCTAGGATCTCGATGTTCGTACTGCTTTATAAGTTGCAGTTACGTAGCATAACTGGATTTTTCGGGTGGTAGAGAACCACTTTGAGGGCATTTCTCGGGTTTTCTGGGGCTCCGATCTACACACAGTCCTGTAGTTGTTGGGAAAAGATTTACCGGGACAAAATTTTCGTTGATGTAAATTTTGTCCCGGTAAATCTTTTCCCAACAAAATATGCCTGGCTAGTGTGTGGTATTTGCGGACTGTAGGGCTCTGTGGAGATAAAAAACGAACTTGTTGGGTCAGGTTTATCTTAAATCAAGTTTTCTTTTGGCAGGTTTTTGAAGGCTATGGTTCAACGGAGACCGCAGGCTCCCTATCATCCGCGATCGCAAGTGATCTTGATGGCGGCCATGCAGGGGCCCCTGTACCCGGCCTAAGAGTAAAGCTGTTAGACATACCCTCAATGGGCATTGTAGCCGAACGGGATAATAAAGGAGAGGTAAGCGTTATCTGTTTACTCATTTGCGTCAAGTCAGGTCAATGTCAAAGCATTCACTTGGTTTGCTCCACTTTTCGTGGGGTGCGTCTTTTCGTATTTTACCGATTACCTGGTTATCCACAAACACCTCAAAAGTCCAATTTATTGACAAATTCACCTGTTCTTGCTTATGTTGACGCTTCATAGCCAAGGTCTATCCGTCCTGTTTTCACCGCCAGTCCCTCTCCGTAGAGTTATCTTGAATATTCTGAATGTAAAATGACAATCCATCTGGACTCAACCGTAAATCCACTATAAACTTATACTTGCAATCACCTTTGTAGGTGAGTGTCAAAGGTCCAAGCTGCACGACAGGCTACTACAAAGACCCCGAAAATACTGCGCAGCTTTTTGACCCTGAGGGCTGGATGCGGACCGGAGATGTGGCTATCTGGACCGAAGTAAGCCAGTTTAAGTACTCTTAAGGCGCTCTTTTTCACTTTTTCCCAACCAGTGATAGTACATCAGCCCGTCTTTTAAGTTGCAGGTAGTTTTAATCTACAGTTTTTTTGCAATTGTACTTTGGAGTTTCCTCTGTGTTTACGGTTAAGGGAAGCCTTGTGAATTGACGATGACAGACTTATTGTACTTTCGTATTTTGGTGATAATAACGGTTATTTCTGCCCCAATTACTGTATAAAATTAGTATTGTCCATTAAGAATGTCGAATAATGCTCCATTTGAACTAAGAAAATTTGGGCATTGTGAGAGGCTGCAAGTTAACTTTCGTCTAGCCTATTGGGGCGCAACTTCTGATAAAGGCTTTTCCAACCTTGGAATCTTGACTAAAGTAGTTCATGCTATTAAAGTCTTAATCTCGACTCCTCCGTTAATTCATCAGTCGTGCATTTGTTCGTTTTGCCCTGAGCCTACCAATCCCAAATATTTTTGTAGATCTTTTGGTCCAGGTGATTTGACTAACATTTATGTTTAACAAAATGGTGCTTCATAAACAAGAGCACAAACCACAATTAAGTCATGGTCCCGTGATTACGGTCATCTTTGACAAATGTCGAGAAGTAATAGCCCTATTGATTTTCGGGACATCCTCTTGGTGATCGCTACCGTTGACCCCTGAGACGTCAATCAAAATTGAAGTTAAAAGGTGTTTCACCAGCATTTATAGGCTATCACTGGAGGCAACATCGAACGAACCATCCATCTCCTAATTATTCGTACGACTTGTCATTCGATACCAAGAAAAAAACTGCGCTTCGTGTTTCTTATTAAATGACGACATAGGGTTCGTCGTGAAAAACTGCAATGTTTTCGTTCTCACTTTTGACACTTCAAGTCTTGAAAATGTATTATCCTGCTGCTAAACATAGACACCAGTGTTGCAGTCACAAGCATTTCATGTGTATGTAGGTGGTAACTTGGCACGCGTTTGTGCTCAGCCAGGACGTCTGATTTTGGGTTCCCCCATCGTTGTAGGCGTTACCTCGCGCCCGTGTGTGTTGCATCGAAGACTTCGATAACTAAATGCCTTTTACTTTTAGAAAAATAGTATTAAAATTGTGGACAGATGCAAGCACATATTCAAGCTATCTCAAGGAGAATACGTTGCTCCAGAAAAGATAGAATCGGTCTACGTTGAGAGCCGCTTCGTGAACCAGGTCTTTGTGGATGGTGACACTGAGCAGGCCTATCCCGTCGCTATCGTTGTCCCTGAAGTGGAGGCCCTTGTGCATCATATCAACTCCAAAGTTCCGAATTGCAATAGCCCCAAACGAGGGCTTTCCAACGGTCGCGTCCCTTCAGAGAACGGAGTCACCGTGAATGCTGCAGGAGAACACGCTCCGGAGCCCGTATTTGTCATTCATGGGGAGAAAATGTCCATGGAGCAGCTGTGTGAATACAAACCCGCAGTCAAGGCGGTCCTTGATGATCTCACTGCACGAGGAAAGGCACGTGGGCTTAAGGGCTTTGAACAGGTGAGTTTTCAAAATACTTTGCAAGGATTCATGGGTGAGTGGGATTTTTCAGTTTCCTAACGGTCCGATCTATAATCGAGTGTTTTTGGACCAGTAAGTATTAGTTCGCAAGGCATCTAGTGAAGTACTCCGAGTGAGTTTTCAATGCTTTGCTCTTTTTAACGGGTTAACACGAAAATATTGCCGTTTTTTCGAAGCTTCATGATTTCGCTCTTGCAAAAAGTCCGGTTTACTAGCAAGAAGTCTGATTGCGACTTCAGGTCATCGTTGTTAGTGAAGACTCTACCATTGAAACAGTGTCACGATCTAGGATATAACTGGTAGTGTGATGGTGCAAGGTCCGGGCCATTTGGCAGACTCGATATCACTACCCAACCTACCTCCGACTTACCAACTGTGCATCAGGCCTGGCATTATTTTGACCGTTACCTACTGCTTTCATTGATGGTTTCTCACAGCACAATTTCGTTAGTTGTTGACAATGAAGTTATGCATTGATCGTCTGTTTATCTTGGTGGTAGCTCAAAATGCACAGCCCACGTGCATCTTCGCCAGATTAATGACGTCACCAAATTTGGTGAAATCAGGCTCTGTTGATGTGTTTTGTGTTGATTGACACTGCTTGGAACGCAACTGTTTCCCCCTGATGTCGTATCAGACTATTCCTTTTGGAATCTCCTGTATTTGCTTCTTTTAAACTTGCGCTTTAAATGCATGTCA